AGGACTTAACCTTGTGCCTAAAGTTAGGCGCATGCTTAGGGGCTATGCTGAATAAATATGGACGGCTGAACTGAGGCGTGACTAATCCTTGTGCCTGTGCAAGTGTCTGCAGCAGGGGGCCCTTTAGTCCATTTCCTTTGTTGGGTGAGTCTTTGACAACGCTTTAGGCCAGAAAAAAAACAGCTGGAAAGACCGGAAAAAGCAGTTGTAAGCCCACAAACTGGCACAGGGGTCCAGGGTGGGGGTAGCACCGGCAAGGAATTGCATTTCATGTTATAAACAGCAGCCTGTAGATCAGCTTGGGCGAGTCCTTTTGAACACAAATAAATGTCTCTCTTCTTCCTTTCCAAAAAAGAAAAGAAAAGTGTAAAAATCTCAGTGCAACGTTAAAGGCTATATGGTGGTTTGCACTGCACACTCAGATGGGTACTTAAGAGCATCTGCAGAAACAGAGAGCTGGACCCACCCTGGGTTCTTCTCCCTCAGCTCTGCAGTGGGTGGAGAGGTGATCTCTGCTCCACCCCACAACGAAGGCACCAGACAGCATAGCCGAGACAGCATAGTAGAAGGCCGTAATTTGCTGTAGGTATGGCTCAGTGTTAAGGATGGAGCTAGGGTGACCAGATGTCCCGATTTTATACGGACAGTCCCGATTTGTGGGTCTTTTACTTATATAGGCTCCCATTACCCTCCTCCCCCGTCCCAATTTTTCACATTTGCTGTCTGGTCACTCTAGATGGAGCAAAGCACCTAAGCAGATGCCCTCTGGCAATGCATACAATTCTGCTCATGCTTTGCTGACTCGGAGCCTAAATTACTATCCAAAGTGGGGAGGCTCGTGGGTCGGTAGCTGTGTGCAATCCTTTGTCCTCGTGGAACTATCTAGCCCTAAGACTGCACAGTTAAAGGTTGCACACAGCCATGAAAGTCTACAGTAGAGGTATAACGTTTGGGAATTGGGTAGCATCCCTTATATAGCTTGTGAGCCTGCCAGTGGCCCTCACTGTCGGCCGCTTCAGAAATCAGCAGAATGGCAGCGAGTATATGTAACAACTAGGCCTTGCATATTGTATGTGGTTAAGTTATTTGGACCCCCACCCTGGCCACATGGTAGCTACATATGCCATATGTTGCGTACGGTTCCAAAAGCTGCACTGCATTCCTACAGCGCTCATTTTCTACTCCCACTTTACATAACCAGTGTGTGTCTTAATAAAAAGGCTGGTGTGAAATGTGTACCATAAAACATATACACTGTGCAACACAGCCCAGCTCATCTTTGTACTTTCCAGCTTTTGAAACAAGCATCCTTATTGTAATGTTTTGCATTTATGTTATGGCGGTGCTAGCACACATGCTTATAACAATCTGGGGAATATTGAGCATGTGTTAAGAGTGATTCCAAGATGTTCTATAGCTAAGCTTGCAGCCAAGTTGATTTTAAATCTCACGTTGGAGTCCGCTCAATAATCCACAAGAAAAGAATCAGCTCAGCCTGAAAATTGATCATTTGAGTCAGAAGCTGGGGGAGGCTTTGGGCAAAATTTGAGGTCAGCTGACCAAGCAGTTCTTGAGACACAGTACCCTTCAAAATGAGCTGTATTCAAAGTTCCAGTCTATCTAAGAGTTGTCAAGCAGGCAGATGGCTGTGTTAGGATAATTGCATACTGGGATCACTCACAAGGTGCAAGGCCAAATGGTTTCAGTGCCCAGTAAGTGCAGTTAAGTACTGCCCAACGGTGATTCTTGCATAGGAAGAAGTGTATCGCTTCTCCGGGTAGCTTTGCCTTTAGTGACCTTTCCTGGAAGCTCATGGCTAAAATTTGGTAACCCTTTCTGGTTTCTCCCATTAACCAGGAATAGAACCCAGAAGTCCTGAGTCCCCGTCCAATGCACTAGATTCTAGGCTAGTTTGCCTCCCTAATACACTGATCCTTGCTTATGCTAAAGCTCTTCATTGCTGAATGATGTGCCTGAGTCCTTGGGCACATGTTAATTCATCTTACAAAATAGTTCACATGCAGGGAGAAATTGGATTTGCTGAAAAAAAGTCCTCCTAGTGCAGGTATCTCTGCATATGGAGAATGAAAGAGATTGTAGGAGAGGTAGAGATAAAGTAAAACAGCATTCAAGTACCCTCGATGATGAGAGGTCAGAGAAGCAGACAGCCGGGCCTCTCCGTGATAGGAGGGGTGAATTATTAACATGGAGATAATGCACACACACACACAAATTACATGCATTCTTTTCCTGGGTGTCTTCATAAAGAAGGATGAGAGAGAGAGAGAGACCAGAAACAGACATTTCACAGAGGAGGAGAAAATATGGAGCTTCATGCCAGAACAGGTCATCAAGGAGTTGAAATGTTTGAAGGCTGAAAATCTTTAGGGCTGAATAAATGGAATTTGTTTAAAAAAAATAAGCTTAGCTCATTGTGGTAATGCATCATTGTAGCTATATGTAAGCGGGGGAA